GAAACATGATGCGCGCGAAACATGATGCGCGCGGAACATGATGCGCGCGGAACATGATGCGCGCGGAACATGATGCGCGCGGAACATGATGCGCGCGGAACATGATGCGCGCGGAACATGATGCGCGCGGAACATGATGCGCGCGGAACATGATGCGCGCGGAACATGATGCGCGCGGAACATGATGCGCGCGGAACATGATGCGCGCGGAACATGATGCGCGCGGAACATGATGCGCGCGGAACATGATGCGCGCGGAACATGATGCGCGCGGAACATGATGCGCGCGGAACATGATGCGCGCGGAACATGATGCGCGCGGAACATGATGCGCGCGGAACATGATGCGCGCGGAACATGATGCGCGCGGAACATGATGCGCGCGGAATATGATGCGCGCGGAACATGATGCAATCAATTTCAAGTTGGATTTTCTCCAACACTTAATAATTCAACCTCACACCAAGTTTTCCTGTGGCATTCACACTTGTCTAAATGTTAATACCGTATTTTCTCTCAAATTTAAACCCACTTTCTAGAATCTCCTACTTAACTAGTGACTGTACTTTAAGCCCACAGATTTTAAAATCCTGTTTATGCATATATTTAATAAGTGACCGGCTAGTCTGTTCAATGTTTTGTACTCAAACATTACAGTCTTAGTTTAAAGAACGCTCGTCAAATGAAAACAGACCCAGCTGTAATTGGGATAATAAAGCATACACTAATGGTCCAGTTTTTTCTAAGCCAACCAGAGTTTTCAATTCTATTTTGGCCAAATGCTGTCCTGGCCAACTAGATTTTAATTCTGTTTGGTTACCACATTTTTCTTGGCCAACCAAATAGGTTTAATGTTCTGCGGTTAAACTATTTTGAATGGGTTCTATTTGAATTTGTAATCATCAGATAAACAGCGGTTGAAGACATAAATTGTTTGCATAATGCATTTTAATTTGTTACAATACTAAAAAACCCGACTGCAACAGCCATTAGGATACACCCTCTCGGCTGTTCCTGAAGAGATTCGACCAACATGTTGCTGTTCATCACTCTGTTGCTTCACGTCTTCTCCGGCTTTGGTAAGTTCCACATGTAATGTTTTAGGACCTTCTCCGGCCTTGGTAAGTTCCACATGTAATGTTTTCGGGCCTTCTCCTGGTTTGGTAAGCTCCAGTTGTCGTAATGTTTCAGGGTCTTCTCCGGCTTTGGTAAGTTTCACATATCGTAATATTTTATGGCATTCCTCGGCTTTTCAATGTTCCACTAATAATATTTGGTATGCTCTATCGTTTTATTGAATTCTATATGTAATATATTAGGGCTTGTTCCGGTTGTAGTAAATTATAAAAAAAAAAAGAAAAATTCTAATTTAAATAAAATACAAAGTAAAGATATTCGCTAGTTTTTTTTAATTTTATTCCATTAATTTTAATAATGTTTGTTGTAATTTTTCTATTATTCTCTAGTTTCAAGCTGTGATTATGGGTACCCAACACCCATCGGTAATCTGTTTGATTCAGCTGAAAAGTACAAGGGAAACAAGTATTATCTCTCCAAGTTTTACTACTCAAACGTGGATCAAGCTGAAAGTGTATGTTTGTCCTACGGCATGTACTTGGTAGAAATCAACGACGCAGGCGAATACAAGTTTGTCCAGGACATTGCTCGGCAAGCTAGGACTAGCGGTCTGCTGATTTCTGGAACTGACAAGGCCCAGGAAGGTACATGGATCTTCCAGTTCAGTAAGGAACCCGTCAAGTTTTTTGATTGGTATGGACCAAATCCCGACAACTATCAGGGTGGAGAAGATTATCTATCACTAAATAGTGCCTTCAAAATGAATGATTATTCTTATCTGCAGCCCGGAACTTATAAGTTCCTGTGTGAAAAAAGTGGCTGATAAATAAGATTTGGTCTGAAAATTTGGTTGTTCAAGTTATTTTAGTAAATCATAATTATTTTTTGATTAAACAATGCTTTAAAAGATTTCTGAAAGATTTTTTTTTTTACTTTTGACATTAGTTTGAGTGGTCGTTCATCAATTGATTATGCTTAGGTTAATGTTTGCTTTATTTTGTTTTGTACTTCATTCTACTTATGTTGACGTTTGGTGACTGTTTTTGTTTAATAGAGGGTCGATGATTTTGTTGATGTTTTTGTTGATGTTTTCGTTGATATTTTTGTTGATGCTTTTTTTGATGTTTTTGTTGATGTTTTTGTTGATGTTTTTGTTGATGTTTGTGTTGATGTTTGTGTTGATGTTTTTGTTGATGTTTTTGTTGATAATTTTGTTGATTTAAGGATCGGACAAAATTTATTCTTAAAAAATGGCTCTTTAAATATTTTACCAATGTTATTTTGACTGTAGACTAATCAGCGCAGGAAAATGTAACTTGTAAATAAGATTACCGCATGCGGAAAAATATTTTAGTTGAAGTTAAATATAGCAGTTACGCGTGTGCAAAGAGCTTAGTCAGGAGCTGAAAGAACAGCTAGAAGGTAGTTTTTACAGGAATAACATTTAGTGATGTTGCAAGAGCTTAATTTATGGTCGGAGCTAAAATTGGACAGATGCTGGTTTGTCCTCACTATTGCCGACATGCTCCAGGGGCGTGCAGGATGAAAACATTGAGTGCACGTTGATTATCCTCTTCAAGGGTAAGGTACAACATTACACGGTCGCCGGCCAAGTGTCAGGGGCGTCTCGGGGCGCTTTGTAACTGCCTCCAACTTCTGACTACATTGAGGAAACATAGTTTGTTTAATCGAGAGAAACACAGTGTCCCTGCGCTATCACTCTTTCAATAAAGAACTATTTTATATAGACTTAGTTAATTCACAAGGGAGGTTTATAAAAAAAAAACTACCATCAACAACCACTCAAGACTAGTAACACAGTAGGAAAGCTTATATATATATATATATATATATATATATATATATATATATATATATATATATATATATATATATATATATATATTGTCCATGGTATCATTTGTCCTGATATATTTTGTCACGGTATCTTTTGTCCGTGAGATCATTTGTCCTTGAGATAATTTGTCCTGAGATAATTTATCCGTGAGATATTTTGTCTGAGATCATTTGTCCTGTCACCATATATATATATATATATATATATATATATATATATATATATATATATATATATATATATATATATATATATATATAAATATATATATATATATATATATATATATATATATATATATATATATATATATATATATATATATATATATATATATATATATATATATATATAATTTACCACACTATACGAAGATCCCGAAATAAAGATTTGTGGAGAGAATGAGAAAGCCATATACAAAATATTTACCGCAACTGACGCCGGCCCTTCAATCTTAAATATAGAAATTAACAAAACAAGATAATTTCTTAAATATTATTGGTGGAACATACAAGAAGGAGAAGATTCTAAAACAATACGACTTTTGGAAATTATCAAAACAGGAGAAGGCCCTGAGACAGTACATGGTGTTCTCTGGTCACTGAGACAGTACATGGTGTTCTCTGGTCACTGAGCAGTATTTCGTGTTCTCTGGTCACTGAGACAGTACATGGTGTTCTCTGGTCACTGAGACAGTACATGGTGTTCACTGGTCACTGAGACAGTACATGGTGTTCTCTGGTCACTGAGACAGTACATGGTGTTCTCTGGTCACTGAGACAGTACATGGTGTTCTCTGGTCACTAAGACAGTACATGGTGTTCTCTGGTCACTGAGACATAATGTTCTCTGGTCACTGAGACAGTACATGGTGTTCACTGGCCACTGAGACAGTACATGGTGTTCACTGGTCACTGAGACAGTACATGGTGTTCTCTGGTCACTGAGACAGTACATGGTGTTCTCTGGTCACTGAGACAGTACATGGTGTTCTCTGGTCACTGAGACAGTACATGGTGTTCTCTGGTCACTAAGACAGTACATGGTGTTCTCTGGTCACTGAGACATAATGTTCTCTGGTCACTGAGACAGTACATGGTGTTCACTGGCCACTGAGACAGTACATGGTGTTCTCTGGCCACTGAGACAGTACATGGTGTTCACTGGCCACTGAGACAGTACATGGTGTTCACTGGCCACTGAGACAGTACATGGTGTTCACTGGTCACTGAGCAGTATTTGGTGTTCTCTGGTTACTTGAATTGGGCTTTCGAAAAAAAATCTCATGTACTGTAAAATTTTGACAAAACCTACTTTAATAAACCGCATAAAATTAGTTTCTTATAAATTGTAATCTCCAACAAATAATTTAAGCGCGTTTTGTATAAAGCAGTATATACCTGGCATGACCGGGTTAAGGAAATATATTACTTTTTCCAATTAAATGTCTATATGCAAATATGGTCATTTGAGAAAATACACATAACCCTAACGCAAATACAAATGCAAACATAAACAATCGCAAACACAATAGTAAACGCTAACGCAAACGAAAACAAAAAAAAACGCGGAGAAGGGATAATGACCGTTGCAATTTTTAAAAATAATTCAAAGTATTTTGTTTAAAATTTTAAACCTTTCAAACAATTGAAACATAAGTTTAAAAACAATTAGTTCTAGGATCTGGTTGAGGTTTTTGGTTTTCATATTGGTATAAAGATAATGCATGTAGTGTCAGGAAGCTAATACTAACCCACTCACAAATTTTCAAGTTTGGTATAGCTGCGTCTATCTTGTTTTCAAGTTTTCTAAAATGGCATAACGAGGTTTATAGCTAACAAAAAGGCTTGCAATAAATAAATCTCTGTAAACTCACCAGCAAAGCAACAACAAACACACTGACAAACAAAAAAACAAAAATACACAAAATAAAAAAAAATCGAAAAAAAAACATAACAACAACATACAAACAAAATAAAAATAGTTCATCTGGACTAATAATAACACAAAAAAACGGACCTTTGAAAAGTTTTGAAATCAATGTTTAATTTAAAACTCGGTTTATTGACAACAAGATACAATTTTATTTAACCTGGTCAAGCGCATCATCAGGGTTAGTCGCTCTTTCACAAAGAAACCTGGTAAATTTAGTTGGTGGATCTGGCATGTCATTCATTTTGTATTCGTTACTCTGACTAATGATTATATAATGTTCTTTACCTTCATAGTTGTCCGGGTTACCACTTTTCCACTCTTTAAACTTGACCGGTTCGTTGTTTGGGAAGACCCAACTGTTTTCTTTTATCGCGTCAGATCCAGAAAGCAGAAGATGTTCAGTTTTGGAATTCCTGGCAATGCCTTGCACAAACCTGAACTCACTTTCGTCATTGACCTCTACTAGGTACATACCGTTTAATGAACATGCTTTTAAAGCTTTTTCCACATTCATGTAGTAAAAGTCGGAGAGAAAATATTTGCTACCATTGTGATGTCCCATATATTCAAACATTGAACACATAGATTGCTCTCCAGAATCACTAGTATAAGCTGTAGAAGAATATAGATATTAAAGAAAACACTGTTAAAATGGCACATGACGAAAAATTCTCAGCCGTATTCGTTTGAAAAATTTAGAATCATATACCATCATTTCCAATTTATATTCTTTTATGAAATGAAAATAGATTAAAATATCAAACCAAGCATGTTAAAAGAAATACCGTTGTTTTTTTTCTCAGGTCTGTCGACGGTGTAGTCTAGGGGTAAAACTCGCGCTTTCTAACGGGAAGTCACGAGTAAAGTATTCGGTCTATGTACTGTGGGTTGTGACTTTCTCGAGCCCCCCTCCCCATTTCCATGTGGTGCACTACAATCAAGGGGAGGAAACAAATGTCTGTGTCTGACTGCTGGCAACATGCATAAGTTTCTTCCCTTATTTCCAGTCTATTTATGATAACCATTGCTTGAGCGACTGTGTACGAGAGTGATCCCCCATCCATCCAACCCCTCCAATAATGAAACATGCACTAAAGACCTTAGGTTGTTTCTTAACAGAACTACCGTTGTATACTGTGATGCTTGCTTTATCTATGGGGGAGAAAATGAAATTCTGTTGTAAACCTACGTGTCTAGCAGAGGAACATGACGTTTTCCCGATACTTGCAAGAACGCCGGGTGTCCCAAGGTAGTTTCCCGAACGGACACTTGCATTTGGCTTTAGGACATTTGTCCCGTTCGGGAACTTACTAAAGCCGGATAAGGTCCTTAAACAATACGGTGCACGGACGTTTGACCTCATGTGCTTTGACCACTGAGGGGCTTTGACCATAGGGGGTTTGATCACGGATGTTCTCACAACAGAGGGTCTTTGATCACAGGTGGTTTGTCCAATGAGGGCGTTCGATAACAAGCGCTTTGTCCATGTATGGTAAGGTATACTATTAAAAGTTGGGTAATGGGGGACAAGTGTTACTTCTTTGACAATACTGTTGGCATGCTGTTTTATCCTTTATGTATGCTATGTATTTTCAAGTAGGCTACATCTTCATTATTAATGTGTGAATCTTTTTATGTCTCATTATTTATGTTCCATTTATATTTAAAATAAATCTTTGAGGCCTAGCACCAGCCTTTATGTGGAGACTAAAATATCGTTATTGACTTTTTTTAAGTACATGTTAAATTCTATTAATGTACTCTCAGGAAATATTTTAAAATCGTATTAATTGTATCATAAATTTACATCAAATAACAGTTTATAATGTCTATTTTAAAATCTACACATTATAGTTAACCCCCCACCCCAATGTGGTCAAAGCCACGCTGTGGCCAAAGCCCTATGGCCAAACCCTCTATAGTCAAACCCCCTATGGTCAAACCCCCTATGGTCAAACCCTCTATGGTCAAACCCCCTATGGTCAAACCCCCTATGGTCAAACCCCCTATGGTCGAACCCCCTATTGTCAAAACCCCTATAGTCAAACCCCCTGTGGTCAAACCCTCTATGGTCAAACCCCCTATCGTCAAACCCCCTATGGTCAAACCCCCTATGGTCAAACCCCCTATGGTCAAACCTCCAATGGTCAAACCCCCTATCGTCAAACCCCCTATGGTCAAACCCCCTATGGTCAAACCCCTATGGTCAAACCCCCTTTGCTCAAACCCCCTGTTATCAAACCCCCTATGGTCAAACCCCCTGTGGTCAAACCCCCTATGGTCAAACCCCCTATGGTCAAACCCCCTGTGGTCAAAGCCTCTATGGTCAAACCCCCTATGGTCAAACCCCCTATGGTTAAACCCCCTATGGTCAAACCCCCTATGGTTAAACCCCCTGTGGTCAAAGCCTCTATGGTCAAACCCCCTATGGTCAAACCCCCTATGGTCAAACCCCCTGTGGTCAAAGCCTCTATGGTCAAACCCCCTATGGTCAAACCCCCTATGGTTAAACCCCCTATGGTTAAACCCCCTATGGTCAAACCCCCTATGGTCAAACCCCCTGTGGTCAAAGCCTCTATGGTCAAACCCCCTATGGTCAAACCCCCTATGGTTAAACCCCCTATGGTCAAACCACCTAGGACCAACAATACGACATATATAGCTTACCAAAGCCGGAGAAGGTCCTAAAACATTACGACATCTGGAACTTACCAAAGCCGGAGAAGGCGTGAAGCAACAGAGCGATGAACAGCAACATTTTGGTCGAATCTCTTCAGGAACAACCGAGAGGGTTTATCCTAATGGCTGTGTGGGCCTGGTTTTATAGTATTGTTGTACAAATATGAGTTTTTATCGGGGACACGTGCTGTTTCTGTGATTCCGAAAATATTTTAAAATATAAAAATAGTAGTCGAAGTCAATGGCGTAGCCTATATGGAGTTATTATTATATGGGCGAAAATGATTACCAATTAATAACGAAATTAAATATAATTGTCTTAGTTGGAGCCATCTAGACAAGTCGATAAATTACATACAAAGTAAAAGACATAAATGGGATGACAGTTTTTCAGTTCTATACGAGGGACGAAATAGTCCGTAACGCTTTTGCACCTCTTTTATCGGGTTCCGCAAACCACTGTTGAAGGATTATCCTGACAGTTATTTGTTTAAAACCAAAAGATTAAGCATCTGATGGGTATTGCTAGCGATATTCCGTTTTATTGTTGATTGTACACATCTCCCCCCCCCCCCCACGTTTTTTTATCGGACATTCCAGTTTCTTAACCAGTACGTTTCAGTGTGGAAGCTTTAAAATTTCATACAAATTCAATTTTAGGGTCGCTTCATCGATCTGCCGCTGACAATTTAAGAACTGAAATGACTCATTGATTCCCTCATGTATTTGCAGATAAAATTGGAGTATCATCCTAGAGATAAGATTAGATACTTTTTAGAGCATATTGAATAAACAGGAAGTGATCTCCCCTAAACTTTCTCGAATATTCTTATATAAAACAACAGGGGATGGCAACTCGGGATATAGGCATGATTTTAAATCCATTTTAAATACTAAATACTTTAAATAGAATAAAATCTCGTAGAAAAAATAGTTGAAAACCGAGTGAACGCCAAATAAAATGTGTATAATAGTGGGGAATATTATTAGAGCTTTATAAGTTCACATGGGTTTTTTGAGAAATTGGAAATAGCGAAAATTACTACTTCCGGTCAACGAAAATTACTCAAAATTTGACAGAAGGCAGAGAATTAGATCTTTCACTAACATGTGAACATGTGAAATTTAATTAATCTATCTGAAATTGTACTCAAGTTATAGGCTTTTGAAAATTCAGAGAAGAAAAGGTTCCATTTCCGGTTATCGGAAAAAACTCAGAAGTTGATATGGATCTACGATTTTGATATAATACTTACATATGAAATTTCATCAACCTAGTTGTAACAGTACTCAAGTTATCGTATTTATACACACACACTTACACACACTTACACACACACAGACACACACACACACACACATACACATACACACAGTGGCGTAGCGAGGTCGGGTGTCACCCGGTGCGGCACTTAATGGTGTCACCCCCCAGAGGCGTAGCGACCCTTCCCGGGGACAAACTTTCAAGTTTTCGATTTGCAACCCCCCCCCCCCCCCCTCAAACTTTCGATTTGCACCCCGCCCTCAAGTTTTTCTCTATATATTTTGCTTTTTTTGCCTTGGTGTCATCCCCCTAAATGGTGTCACCCGGTGCAGTCCGCACCCCCGCCCCCCCCCCCCTCGCTTAGCCCCTGCATACACATACATGCGGACAAGATTGCAAAATTATGTTTTTCCGACTCAGGGAGATGTAAACCGTCTAGATTTGATAAAAAATCTCGATTTTTTTTACGATTTCAAGACTTTCTCTATACTTCGTATATACGAGAAAGTAAAAAAAGTATGCGGCGATGTAATGGCTTTGTTAATACGTGGCATATTTGCAAAGTGTGAGAACGAGATTTTAAAGGCGTTGTAAAAGTTTATATATATATATATATATATATATATATATATATATATATATATATATATATATATATATATATATATATATATATATATATATATATATCACGTTATCAAAAATATCATCCAGTATACACACGATAAACTAAACCAAAGCATGTGTATACGAGTAAGAGTATGTGTACAAGTATATCTCTATATATCTCTATATATTTCTATAAAGCGCCTTCTGAATCTGACACTTATGCCACTTATTTTCCTGTTCCCATCATATCGCCCTCATACAGGTGAACTACGTTCAGTACATTGTCAAAGCTGCGATTATCTCTAGAATAAGACTTCAATCCTTTAAGCAAATACATGCGGGTACGGAACATCTCTATTCTTAAATGGCCCGCAGAAGATCAAGTGATTCTAAAATTGAACTTTTTGTATGATACTGTCAAGCTTCTACGCAAACACGTAATTTTTTGTTGTTCAAAAAGGTAAATTGTTCCGTGAACAAAAAAATTCTACGTGGGTTGAGATTTGGATAAACAAGTACGGGTTATTGTTTATGAAATTATCGATAATCTTTTTTTGTGTTTTATACTAGACGAGCCGATCCGCGGCATATCATATGCCGCTTTTTAGTTGTTTTATTTTCTACCTTTCAGTAATTCATAGTTTGTGAATTCGACAGTACCAATGCTGCCACTGAAAATATTTGCTTAAAAACACTATCAGTAGGTCGTTAAGGACGATACTACCCCCACACTCCTATCCCCCAACCCCTACCCTACAACCCCCCCCCCCCCCCCCCCCGTGAAAGCAGCCTCCTCTTAGTTACCTCCCCTAAGTTTAAAATGGTTTCAAACTAAATTATCTGCCCCTAGTAGCCGTCACTAAACCCGGCTCCACGAATGTAAACATTTAGCGTGAACCATAGCTCACCAGACCATGTAGGGGTGGGGTGGTAGGGAGCGCGCTTACAGCTTGTTTTCTAGCGTCTCCAAGAAGAGAATTATATATATATAGATACAGTCTCGCAAATGCTGTTTGTGAGTTTCAATAGGCACAAAGGCTTGCTCTTTCGGCCTCAATGTGGGCTGTCAATTTTATCCATTTGTTTTACATTTTAATTTTATTTTAAAATTTTATTTGAATATATATATATATATATATATATATATATATATATATATATATATATATATATATATATATATATATATAAAGCAATGTTTGTGTGTGTGTGTGTTTGTCTATCTTTAAGAATTTATGCATTACTACTCCGAGGGACGTTCCTACGAAAAAATAATTAAAAATTCGCAAGGGTGGTGCCCCGGAATGGTTCGATTCTTATTTATATACGGTATTCTAAAAAAATGAAAGTCGGATTCGGTTCGACACCGTATATCCGAGTGCTAAAAAACTTTGGGGAGTTGATGAAAATACTACCGAGAAGGTTTCTGAGTGAATTTTTTAAATTTACACTGGCGATTTCCGGAAGGATGGGATTTTGGCGTATATAGCCCTCTATATACGGTTACAGTTGGTGTCACCCCTCCCATTGTGCCGAATGTCGTTAATTATTGCACACATTATATTAATCCACCTTTTAATTTAAGCGGAAACAAGCACTAGTTTCAGAGTAAATTATTACAGATGGTGTCACCCCCACACTCGATTATTGATTACCTTATTACAAATATTCATCAAAACCTTACCTCCCCAGTAAATTATGCGGTTCGTGTCCCACCACCACAGAGTGATAGCTCTAAAGTGTGCACCGTGAGCAGAGTTTCTTCCAAGTATCCCTTGGTAGAGTCGGGAGGGGGGGGGGGTTAGCAAATCTAACAGTGTACGCCCCCCCCCCCCTTTACCTTCCGAACGAAATATAATTTATATTGAAAAAATATAATTTTATTAGTGACCGCCCTCACCCCCTGGAAATTTTAGTAAGTCCCCCCCCCCCCCCCCCCCCCACAAAAAAAAATTCTATCACCCCCCCCCCCCCCCCGAGAAAAGCCTATAGAATACACCCTCTCGGCTGTTGCTGAAGAGATTCGACCAACATGTTGCTGTTCATCGCTCTGTTGCTTCACGTCTTCTCCGGCTTTGGTAAGTTCCACATGTCGTAATGTTTTAAGACCTTCTCCGGCTTTGGTAAGTTCCACATGTCGTAATGTTTTAGGACCTTCTCCGGCTTTGGTAAGTTCCACATGTCGTAATGTTTTAAGACCTTCTCCGGCTTTGGTAAGTTCCGCATGTTGTAATATTTTTCATGACCTTCTCCAGCTGTGTGTAAAAGCCTTTGAATGATTTATATTTAAAATATTTTGTAGACAAGGCTCTCAAGTGCACTATGTTACGTTATGTCTTGTTAGTTAATGTTACATCCGTTGTATATTATATATCGTAGTAATGTCCCTTGAATGTTCAGTCTCTTAGTGTGTGTGTGCCAAGTGAGTATCAAGGTAACTTAGAATGTAACTGGAGACAAGACGTGTCGTCTAGGCTGTCTGGTGTGATGACAAAAGTTCTGAAACTTTTGTATGAAACCATTTTCAAGTGTTTGTTTTTGTTTGATTCCCAACCGGACAAACAACAGTCGCACACGTTAATTGAATGTACATCTATGATACCTCTAAGCAGGGCTGGTCTAGCTCTGTCTAAGGGATCCGGGAAATTTAAAAAACAACCCCAATCCGAGGATTTCCACCCCCAATCAAAACCTAATGATTATCCTCAGCTTAATTGAAATTCACGGGACAAATTAAAAAAAATCATAGCACAAATTAGCCTAGAACTGCACTGTTCCAGGAGATATAGCGATATTTTCACCACAGCCTAAAATCCCCCCTCAAAATCGCATTCGACTTTTTCTTAAAATACGATTTTTTTTCCAAATCTTCTCTAAACTCTGCCAACATTGAGTATTTTAAACATGCCTTATTACAGTTTATTAAAACAGTATTCTAAAACGCGAAATATCGGCTAAAATTCGTTTCTAATATTGCTTTTTTATAATGCAAATGTATGACGTCACACCAAGTGCCCCCTACCAACACTCCGTTACAAAATTACGCACCCTCCTCCCCCCTACGAGTGTGACGTCATTTATGAACGAACCGAAGACTATTCTTAATCTAAGTGGGAGGAATCAAGTAATGTAACATTCTAAATCTAAAATATGTCTCTCAGCCTAAATGTCGAATGTTCCATTGTCATAAAGTATTTAGATACTTTTATTGGTTTGAGTTTACTACTATAAAAAGTTGCTAATTGTCTAATGTAAGTTGTTGATTTAATTATTGACTGTTGGAATAAAAAAAATTGATGGTTTTTTTATGCACAAAATATAATGATGTGGAAGTCTTTAAAGTGTGTTATATTTAAAATATTTAAAGTGAAATTCTTTTGAATGTTTTATATTTTAAAGATGTGTGTGAAAACCTTTGATTGTTTTATATTTTAAATATTTTGTACACAAAGCTCTCAAGTGCATTATTTTACTTTATGTCTTGTTAGTTATTGTTATGTCCCTTATATTTTATACATCGTAGTAATGTCCCTTAAATGTTCAATCTCTTAGTGAGTGTGCCTAGTGAGTTTTCAAGTAATTAAGAAAAACATTACAAAAACATACAAACACACAACAAATAGTTCATCCGGACTAATAATAACATAAAAAATCGACCTAAAAGCTTTGAAATCAGTGTTTAATTTAGAACTCTGTTGATTGACAACAAGTTACAATTTTATTTAACCAAGTCAAGCGGATCATCAGGGTTAGTCGCCCTTTCACAAAGAAATCTGCAAATTGTAGTTGGTGGATCTCTCATGTCATGCATTTTATAGCCATTACGATTACTAATGGCCAGATAATCTTCACCTCCGCCGTTGCTCGGGTCACCCGACCCCCATTCGAAAAATATGACCGGTGCATTGTTTGGGAAGACCCAAGTCTTCTGTTTAATCGCGTCAGATCCAGAAAGCAGAAGATCATAAATTTTGTAAGACTTGGAAACGTTTACCACAAAATTGTACTCAAATTTATCATTGACCTCTACCAGGTACATGCCGCATGATGAGCATACATCGAGAGCTTGTTGTGCATTTATGTAGTAAAAGTTGGAGATAAAATACTTGTGTCCATTGTAAGCTCCCGTATAAGTCAACATTGAACACATAGATGGTTCTTCCGAATAGCTACTAGAAGCTGTGGAAGAATATAGATATTATAGGAAACACTTTTAAAATGACAGAGGACGAAAAAAAACCATTCGTATTTGTTTCAAAAATTTAGAATTATGTCATCATTTCCAATTTATAGGCTAAAGAAATGAGAAGAGACGAAAATACTTTTTCTTCGGATGTCCGTGGACGGTGTAGTCTAGGGGTAAAACCCGCGCTTTTTAATACGAGTAAAGTAATCGGGTTCTATACTGTAGGTTGTGTCCTACTCGAACTCCCCCCCCCCCCCCAGTTCCCCATTTCCAGATGGTGCACTTCAATCAAGGGGAGGAAAAAAATGTCTGTTTTGCCGATTCTTTATTGTTTTCCTGTCTACCAGGGTGATGACCATTGCTTGAGCGACCCCCCCCCCCCCCCCCCATTCGAACCCTCCAACAATAAAGCATGCTCGTTAGATCTTAGGTTGTCCCAGGAAAAACTACCTCTTTATCCCATGAAGCTTGTTTTGCCTATGGGGGGGGGGGGGGTGGGAAGTGAAATTCTGTTGTAAACCTACGTTTCTACCAGAGGAACAGGAGGTTTTCCCGATACTTGCAAGAACGCCGGGTGTCCCAAGGTAGTTTCCCTAACGGACACTTGCATGTGGCTTTGGGACATTTGTCCAGTTCGGGAACTTACCAAAGCCGGAGAAGGCGCTAAAACATTACATGTGGAACTTACCAAAGCCGGAGAAGGTCCTAAAACATTACAACATGTGGAACTTACCAAAGCCGGAGAAGGTCCTAAAACATTACGACATATGGAACTTACCAAAGCCGGAGAAGGTCCTAAATCATTACCACATGTGGAACTTACCAAAGCCAGAGAAGGTCCTAAAACATTACATGTGGAACTTACCAAAGCCGGAGAAGGTCCTAAAACATTACGACAAGTGGAACTTACCAAAGCCGGAGAAGACGTGAAGCAACAGAGCGATGAACAGCAACATGTTGGTCGAATCTCTTCAGGAACAGCCGAGAGGATGTATCCTAAAGGCTGTGAGGGCCGGGTTTTATAGTATTGTTGTACAAATATGAGTGTATTCTGGGACACGTGCTGTTTCTGCTATTCCGAAAAAAAAAACATTTTGATACAAAAATAGTAGTCGAAGTCAATGGCGTATCCTATATGGAGTTATAACAAGGTGAATGGGGCGAAAAATGATTAGAATATTAAATATAAATGTCTTTGTTTAAGCCATCTAAACAAGACTTAAAACTACACACAATGTAAAAGTATTGTTGTACAAATATATGTGGTGTTCTGTGATTCAGATAGTAGGCGAAACCAATGGCAAAGCCAATGTCGAATTATTAAAACGAGGTGTACAACGATTACAAAATCATAAAAAATTTAAATATACATGTCTTAAGATAAGACTTCTAGATAAGACTATAAATTACATAGAAAGTAAAAGATATAAATGGGATGACAATCTTACAAATCTAAACGAGGGCCGAAATGTTCCGTTACGCCTTTGCACCTATTATATCGGGTTTCGCAAACCGTTATTGAAGGATTATCCAGACAGTTATATGTTTATATAAATGAAATATGAATCTGATGGTATTCCTGTCGATAATCCGTTTTATTGTTGTTTGTTTAAATCTCCACCCGTACGCTATTTTGTTTTTAACGGACATTCGAGCTTCTTAACCAGAAAGTTTCGGTATGTAAGCTTTAAAATTTCATACAAATTCAATTTTAGGATCGCTGCATTGATCTATCACTGACAGTTTAAGAACTGAAATGACTCATTGATTCCCTCATGTATTTGCAAATAGAATTGGAGTCTCATCCTAGAGATAAGCACCTAAATACTCCACTGAGTATATTGAAAAAGTATGCGTTGATGTAATAGCGTTGTTAAGGAGTGATTCGTGGCATATTTTATGTAGCAAAGTGTGAAAATGAGAATTTAAAGGTGTAAAAGCTTGTGCACGCATATATGCCTACACATATACTTAGGAAAATACGGATATATATATATGTATATATATATATATATATATATATATATATATATATATATATATATATATATATATATATATACATATATATATATATATATATATATATATATATATATATATATATATATATATATATATATATATATATATATATATATATATATATTAATTTCCATAAATTAATAAGTTTTAATGTAATAGAATATATTCAATATAGTAAACAGAAGCGTATATATTTCAAAATGATTACGATATACACGATTATTGACTATTTATTTTCGATTCAAGAATATACAGCACGAAGTGACAATATGGTATCAACACATAAACTAGTACAAAGGCATATTGTATTATGTAATCTGAGTCATACACTACGTGAATGTGATGACCAACACTGAATGTGTATTACAGGCAAATAAAGCTTATTTAAACGTAAAAATGCATAAAAAGCGTTTGAATAATATGCAAACCTAGATAATGACCACAATTTTACTTTTTAGTTTTAGCTTCGATAAGCAACTAGTTCTCACTGCGACTACAAGTATATATATATATATATATATATATATATATATATATATATATATATATATATATATATATATATATATATACATATATATAACCTAATCAAAGATATCATCCAGTATACAAACGATAAATAAACAAGCGTGCTTATACGAGTAAGAGTGTATGTAATTTGATATTTCTATATAGCACCTTCTAATCTGCTATTGCTTCGCTTATGCCGTCGCCATCGCTTCACCCTCATACAAGTGAACTATGTTCAGTACATTGTCAAAGCTGCGATTATCTCTAGAATAAGACTTCAATCCTTTAAGCAAATACATGCGGGTACGGAACATCTCTGTTATTAAATTGCCCGCAGAAGCTAAAATTAAACTTTTTGTTTGATACTTTTAAGCTTCTACCCGTTTGAGATTAGGATAAACAAGTACGGGTTATATATATTATAATATCTATTATAATCTTTTTTTATGTTTTACACAAGACAGAGGCGTAGCAAGAGATTGGGGGGGGGGTGCGAACCGCACCGGGTGACAAAAAAAAACATAGCGAAATATATACTGAAAAATGATATCACTTAATTAAATGATTAATTAAAAGATTGAATTAAATAGTCTTTTAACAGTGGACAAGTGGAGGTGGGTGACACCATGACCTAAACATGCTAATTATAAAGAAAACGTGCAACATCCAGCTGAATTTATAACCGAATATAGATACAAATAGTTAGTATTGTCTGAGCACAGTTTAAAGCAATAACCGGGGAGAGGGGTGACCCGGGGGGGGGGAGTTACATCAACTCAACGTTGCAATATATATGCCTGAGAAAAACGGTTTGGTTGAGAATCGTAATAACCTATGAAAATCCGTGTATGTGGTGGGGGGGGGGGTTGGAGTAAAAATTAAATACATCTAGAAGAAAAATACGAATACACATACAAGTGTATATGGATTTTATATATATATATATATACAAAACATTGTTGTATTAAGAAAATAAATCTTATTTACTATTAGTAAAATTATTGTTCTAAGCTTTTATAATTAATGTGGTTAATCTACCAATGAATATATCAATAAATTAAAAAAAAAGTCTTTAAATTAGTTTGTAATTAACAGTGTGTTTAAGAAAGGACAATGTTCTCCACCTAAAATCCTATTTTACAGCTCTACACATAATGAAGATTCTCCCCAATAACAAATCAGACAAACAAAAAAACAAAAAAAATGAGTTATTAAACATGTAAACTAGAGTTTTAGTAGTATACTAGACTACCCGTCATCCCTTGGATAACTGTGGGTTTCGGGGGTCATCCATAAAAAAAACATCACGTCTGTCACTTATCTTCACAAAAAAAGACCCCACATTCAAAAAGATGTTTTTTTATCTTTTAAAAACACCGAAAACATCGGACCTTCATATACTGACGTCACAGGTGACCTACTCAACTCTACTTCACCTGCCCAGTATCCCACCAAGTCTCAGACAACATGTTTTTATCGTTTAAGAAAACGATTCCAGCCGAGCATGTCTCTGACCACGCTATCCCTTCATATGCTTAGAAACGGTTCCATGACAAATGATCTCAGGACAAATGATCTCAGATGTTATGATACATTATAAATATCTATCATGGTGTCTCCACCTCTCCCCCCTTCTTGCTACCCCACAGGTAACGGTACACACCTGGACCTGAGTCCAGCGGTATCGTAAGGCTGACCTGGCCTCGACCTCAGACTGCGGTCATGGGGGCGGGGCCTGAGTCATGTGACCTGTAGGGTAGGGACGCTACAGTCCGGTCACTCTACCTTCTCCCCTCTTCGGAGGTACACGTTTTTTTTGGTGCTAAGGCACTAGCCAACATAACATATCATACTTATTTTGGTGCTACGGCACTTGTTCTCCTCGGAGAAATTAAACGTACGTTTGGCAACGTGTGTAAAGGATTGTGTGGCCTCATTGGAAGGTAATTTACTCTTACTTTTATTAGCTGTACTGTTATAATATTAATTAATAAGTATGGAATGAGTATAAAATAATGTATGAATGAAATAATATTTTCTAGCAATGTTTATTGTAGGCCTTATGTAAATGTATTATCTTATGCGTCTGAATGAATGTGTATATCACACAGATGTTAGGAAGTTTGTCACATGTATTTTACAGCCGGCCAGCTTGGGGCTAAAACAACTTAGACAGTACAGAGGTCTGTGTGAGCAAGTGTGACCACTCCGCCCTGAAGACCAGTCGCCCATTCCAGGCTACTCTAAGTTGTATCATTATTCCTATGCCAATAATTCATGTATTAAAAGTTAAATGATTGTGAAACTGAGTTAATTACTTAGTTATAATTTTAAACCTTTGCACTGCACCCAATATCGATAGTCCGTCAATAATAATAACATAACTTTAATAAACGCAATATTAACTATTAAGGGACCTCTTGTCCAACGAGACAAACCCTAGACTAAACAGGTCATTCTGTAGCTGCGGCTATAACTATTTATGTGCGACTCGCTAGAGCATATTTGCCACATCAGACGTTGAATAAATAAATTAATTAATTAACGTCTTTAAATAAATTTGTGATTAACAGTCTGTCTGAAAAGAAAATTTGTTCTCTACCTACATAATATATATATATATATATATATATATATATATATATATATATATATATATATATATATATATATATATATATATGTGTGTGTGTGTGTGTGTGTGTGTGCGTGCGTGCGTGCGTGCGTGCGTGCGTGCGTGCGTGCGTGCGTGCGTGCGTGCGTGTGTGTGTGTGTGTGTGTGTGTGTGTGTGTGTTACAAATAAAGCCCGAAGTGCGATCCATGCGTGCATTGACTGGCCTTTGTGCGAGTTGGCCGCTTCTCGTGGGTTATGTACAAAGAACTTTTACCTGAAAGGGCTTTTTTGTACATTGGCCTGGACGCCCTGGTAATGTAAGATTTAGTCTACGGTAAGATGGAGTTTTAATAATTCCTGCTGCGGTTTTATTGTGAGTATTACTCAGCTTGTGGCTGTATAGCTTTCTATATGAAATGCGACAAAAAGAAAAATGGTTTTTAGAACACCTCAGGCCGTCCTGTAGTTCCAACCCTGGTATATAGTTAAGAGACATGTTGAAAGTTACAAACACAGAAGCGCAAGATTTACCACTACGATGACTAAGTTGTGAGAAAGTTCTCAACACAATTAAGCGTTACGTGTCAACTGGTTATGCGCCATTGAGGCCATTGACTCCGATTTCAGCCTGCTTTTCTTTTTGGATTTGCTTCCATAGCCTTTGTCCAACCAAGAACAAACTACAAGGCAGTTTAATTTTGGAGTTGTCTCTCCTAGAAGAGTGGCTGTCCCCAGCTAACGAGCCGCATCTACCCGGGGTTCGAACTCGAGACTTTTCGGTTTAGCAACCATGAGCTTTACCGACTCGACCACGCCGACCCCAGTGTCTGATGAAAAGTATAGAAATTGGCCTCTGCTGCAAACATAACTAGTCATTTAAATTTTCTTAACCTACAAGAAAGT